AGAGAGAGAGAGAGAGAGAGAGAGAGAGAGAGAGAGAGAGAGAGAGAGAGAGAGAGAGAGAGAGCGAGAGCGTGTGTGTGTGTACATAAGAGAAACGCCTTCACCAAAACTATATAGAATATTCTAAGCACATTCTCCCTTCTCCATCCACACACACACACACACACACACACACACACACACATACACAATTGAGTGAGTACAATTAGGTGAGTACAAACACACACACACACACACACACACACACACACACACACACACACACACACACACACACACACACACACACACACACACACACACACACCATTCACTTATAAAAACCCCATCACCTCCAATGTACAGTCACGCGAGCCCCATATATAAAGCCCCCCCCCCCTAACTGCCTCCCCCGTAACCCCCGCCCACCACATATCACACCCACCCACCGCCCACACCAGCCAGCCTCCGCCCACCGCCTCCCTGCCCGACGGCTCCCTATAAGGTGACCTACACATTACTCTCGGACCAGCTGCATCGATTTGTCGCGTCGAAGCATCGCTGCTCGCCTGACGCACCCGCCTTGTAAAGCGATCCCCACTAATCGCTAATACATACACCGGCCTGATGTGCGCCGCCCGGATGTACGGCCCCTGACGTACGCCCCCTGACGTACCCAGTATCCCCCATGCTAGCACGCTATTTTACTCTCCTTATGGGTATGATCGCACAGTTTTATACTGTTTGTGACGGGTAAGCATAACTCCTCCTTGCTTCTCTAGATAATCTAATCTCGCTAACACGAGTGCAGAGTATAAACACTGTATTGTTTAGGAATGATCCAATCCCATGTGTGTCTGTGTCGCGTTGAGGATCTGACACCTCTTTAACGGTGGGAGTTTGAGACATCTGATTCCTTTTTATCGTGCCCAGCGAGGTCTTGGAGTCCAATATGGAGAGTCAAAGACCTGGACACATACGTTCTAGAGACTGTGAAGCCAATACTCTGCAATGTATTTCCAGTAGTGTAGTCTTGTTAAACCTGTAAGTGCCGCTTCTCGAAGGTGAATCAAAGACTGAAGATGTTTCAAAGACTCTCGAAGTTGTGTCAAAAACTCTCGAAGTTGTTTCAAAGACTTTCGGAGTTGTGTCAAAGACTCTCGGAGTTGTGTCAATGACTCTCGAAGTTGTTTCAAAGACTCTCGAAGTTGTTTCAAAGACTCTCGAAGTTGTGTCAAAGACTCTCGAAGTTGTGTCAATGACTCTCGAAGTTGTTTCAAAGACTTTCGGAGTTGTGTCAAAGACCAGGACCGGCGCGTAACGTCGACATATCCACCTCTTATCAACGCGAAGATGTGGTCGACACTGACCGCCTTGGCTCGTGGGGTCGCCCGGGGACCTTAGGCACTTCGACTCGTCTGACTGACTACCTCAGCCACACCCAAAAGAGAATGTAAGAGTCACGTGGCGCGGTGGTTGGGTGAGTAAAGTGAGGGAGTTTTGTTTACATTCCCGGATGAAAATGGCGCGGTATAGTTATCACTAATTGTCCACAAAGGGTTCTTCTACGTCTACGTTTTCGTCTCACAACCGAAAGATCCGGGTTCGAGTCCCGGGGTTTTTCAACAGCTGTCAGGATTGTGTAAAAATATTTTGTATTAATAACTGTGATTTGGTGTTTTATTCTTCTATTTCATACTCTAGTTAACTTTGTACATTTTTAAAGTGACAGAAAACCTCTTTACTTTTACTTCTCTTATCTTTACTCTTTACTTATCAGGTAGTGAGGATGGGCGACACGAGAACTGTGCCCCGAGACCCCATGTTTACCCCATCATAGACGCAGACGCAGCCAACGACGCAGACGCAGTCACCGACGCAGAAGCATACGCAGCAAAACAATGCTCATCGCTACAGCATATCAAGGCAATAACACCCGCTTCCCTTGAATGAACACTGAACAAATCTTACATTTACTCTCGTGTTCCCCCCACAACCCAACGAACACCTCACCACTCAAAGTCCTCAACCACACACCAACGAGCCCCCTCGTCAACAAAGCTGGTGTCAGCGTTACCAGAGGAATGAATTGCTGAGTGCGAAGCCTCGCCCCTCGTGAACAAAACCCATCCGGAGTAATAGGCAGCTGGTGGCAGAGGGAATGGGGTAGAGAGGCCAGATCCCCACAAGAAAAAATGGGTTCTTCCCTCTTGTCCCTATTCTCCCTTGCGCGTCTGCCCACGCGGTCTCCCCTTAACATTCATCTATCTCCGCCGGTCGTTCATCCACGTCCGCCTTCGGCCAGGCCGGCTAGTTACATCCGGCATACATTCACTTTCAACGTCCGTCACTTTCAGTCACGGGAGACGCCAGCGCTCGCCACGGTGTGTGTGTGTAGCTTACCTACCAGTGACTGCCTGTGGCGACCAGTGACTGCCTATGGCGACCAGTGACTGCCTATGGCGACCAGTGACTGCCTGTGGCGACCAGTGGCTGGCTGTGGCGACCAGTGACTGCCTGTGACGACCAGTGACTGCCTATGGCGACCAGTGACTGCCTGTGGCGACCAGTGACTGCCTATGGCGACCAGTGACTGCCTGTGGCGACCAGTGACTGCCTATGGCGACCAGTGACTGGCTATGGCGACCAGTGACTGGCTGCGTGATTTCTTGGGGAGACAGCATCGCGGGGGAGGACACAGAGAGCGATGGATCTCACCAGGGTCCCCGTGACGGGCCAATCAGTTATTTGGTCCAAAAATATATTTCGGGCAGGAAGAATCATTTATTGGTTATCGTACATCAGATAACAGATGGCCCTCATACTTCAAGTTATCTGAGACTGGCTGGCACTACTAGCATCTGGCACTACTAGCATGTGGCACTACTAGCATCTGGCACTACTAGCATGTGGCACTACTAGCATCTGGCACTACTAGCATCTGGCACTACTCCCCTCCCCACACCCCCCTCCCCACACTCTCCTCCCCACACACTCCTCCCCACACATTCCTCCCCACATCCCCCTCCCCACACCCCCCTCCCCACACCCCCCTCCCCACACTCTCCCTCCCCACACTCCCCCTCCCTACACTCCGCTCCCCACCCTCCCCTCCCCACACCCCCAAGCCTCCAGGAGGAGTGTGGAGGTGGTGGATGGAACACCCCAGGAACACACAGAGGGCGTCAGCAACCGGCCGGGCCGGAGCATGGTGGCATACATTAGAGCAAGTGGCAGAGGCAGCGTGCAGGAATGCTTCCAGTGATGCGCATGACCTTATAATGCCTTCATCTGCCCGCGGGAGATAGCCGGGGCCAGAGCAACTGGGCAAGGACATCAGGACCTTTGAACTTACCTTGGCCTTCTGTATTGTGTGTGTGTGTGTGTGTGTGTGTGTGTGTGTGTGTGTGTGTGTGTGTGTGTGTGTGTGTGTGTGTGTGTGTGTGTGTGTGTGTGAGTGCATGTTTGCGTGCGCGTAGAGGTGTACTATCAAGGACGTCGTTAGTACCTTGTGGATGTGGCCCAAGTGTTGTTTCAGTTCTATTCTTAAGCATCTCTTGAAGAACAAATTCAGACCCCACTTAAACATTTTATCTTTCGCGTTATACGTAAAAAATAAACTGTCAAAATCACCTGGTTACGAATAAATATATTCGTATATATATATATATATATATAATATATATATATATATATATATATATATATATATATATATATATATATATATATAAACGCCATGCAACCTCTGAAGAGACAACTAACACAACACCTGTACCCCCTATTAGACTATTTTACAGGAACTTCTTTTCCACAGCTCATAAAACGGAGGAAAGGGTCCTGAAAGATATTGTTAATAGAAACGTTATCCCTATAGACAAAATCAGAAGATAAAATTAACGATTTACTATAAACTAAGAAAACGGCCAGCCTACTCATGAGAAACTCTCCAGACACAAAGCAGAACGCTTTGAAAGAGACCAATGTCGTCTATGCCTTCAAATGCCCACTTGGGGACTGTAAGCCTCAAAGAACTCAGTATATAGGCAAGACAACAACATCTCTTTCCAGGCGATTAACGATGCATAAGCAACAGGGCTCCATTAAGGAACATATAATCTCTTCCCACAACCAGACCATCACCAGAGAAGTCTTAACAAAAAACACGGAAATCATCGATAGATACAGCGATAGCAGGCGGCTTGATATCTGCGAGGCACTACACATTAAGAAGTCAACACCAGCAATCAACAGCCAATTAATGCACAACTATATTCTACCCACTTCAAGACTCCGCACCAATATAGAAGCATCAAGAAATATGGGCCAATAGGTCCTTTGCATTTACTTCCATTCTTCCCCTTTAACTTTACCCAATATTACCCAATATTTCGTGTTCTATCTTGTGTTGAAAGTTTGTTTTCACCTCATCCAAAACTGTTGTAACATATCACCTCACCCAAATGCAGGTATATAAAATGAAAAGCCGTTTGAATTATAGCATAGTAAGAAATCTGTTTAGTGTTTGCAGGTTATAGTTGTGTGTGTAAACTAAAGTCTTTGAAAATGTAATAAGTTATTACGAAACGTGTTCAAGTGTCGCGTCAGACTAGAAATAAAAATGAATTTTGGAGAATTGAGTTTTCAATTACCATCGACAGTGAAAAGAAACATAAGAAATATTGAGAAAATTCGTGTTAGAATTATTAATCTTACTTTTTCGGTCACATTTAACAACATATGTTTACAAGAAAGACTGCTACCAAAATATACTAATATATATATATATATATATATATATATATATAGGTATATATATACCGCTTCTAGTGAGCATTATACCTGGCTCAGTATATCAGGTATACTGGTATATCACCTACAACATCTCGACTATTTTGCCAACCAGACACGGACGAACCCAAGCAACCCACCTAACCCATCGAGGCCAAGGCACAGAAAACGTCAATATTATAGTGGGTTTTTTTAGCAATGCGTCGTATTTTAACGGATTGGCCACTCAAGAACTCTAGAAACCAACTACAGGTCAAGGTGGTGCTGCTAGTCTTGCAAGGCCAAAAATCATCGTAATTCACACACGAAAGGACACTACTTCAGTAATATATATATATATATATATATATATATATATATATATATATATATATATATATATATATATATATATATATATATATATATATAGCAATAAGATGCTTATCTTAACATACTAAGTAGGTTAGGTAAGGTCGGTGTTTTCTATGAATCTTTTTAAGGGTATCTATTATGTTAAGAATGTCACCTATGCACATATTTAATAAGTCAATATTGACTTATTAAATTTGCGAGAACGGGTTGCAAGGTCACACTCTCCCTCATTCTCTCACTCCCCTCCTCCCATCTCTCTCCACATTCCCCCTCTTTCTCTACCCCTTCCCCCTCTTTCTCTCCCTCTTCCCTCTCTCTCTCTCTCCCACCTTCCCCGCTCCCACCTTCTATCTCGTTTCAACCACTAACATAAAGATATTTCCATTCAATACTGAATTCTCCTACATCACCTCAAGTGAAGAAATCTTGGGTCTCGACTACCCACCTTTCATCGATTTTCTATGTGTGTGTGTGTGGGGGTCACTATTCGGCCTTATTCCCTCTTAATAGGACCAGCAGGACCGACTCCTACCAGCCTATGTCCGGCCCGCACCCCGGACCACTCACCCTGCAATATTGTGTAAGTCTAGCCAAAGGTAAAGCCATTCTAAATATCTACTTAGACCTGACATCTGTAGAATATTGAGAATAACGTATTTTGCTGTCTGTGATCTGATCCAATCACAGTTGTTCAGATCTGAATGTTCACTAGAAGAGTGTTCAGTGTTTCCCACCCAGAGTGTTCAGTGTTTCCACTCTCAGTGTTCAGCGTTTCCATCCAAAGTGTTCAGGTTCCCAGGGTCGCCATATATGGACCTTGTCACTTGAAATATAAAAAGAGAGTTATGGAGGCAGGTGCCTCGACTGGCGACGCCCACAGCTGTCAGATCGCCCCTCCCTGACGCCACTCTCTCCCTACACCTGCCCAATCCACACCTGCCCTACCCTCCCACTCTCCCACACACCTGCCCCACCCTTCCACTCTCCCACACACCTGCCCTACCCTCCCATTCTCCCCTACACCTGCCCCACCCTCCCACTCTCCCACACACCTGCCCCACCCTCCCACTCTTCCCCACACCTGCCCAACCCTCACACTTTCTCTTACCCATGCCAAACCCTCACACTCCTCCCTACACCTGCCACTCTCCCCCACACCTGTCCTACCCTCCCGCTCTCCCCCACACCTGCCCTACCCTCCCACTCTCCCCCACACCTGCCCTACCCTCACACTCTCCCCCACACCTGCCAAACCCTCCCACACTCTCCCCCACACCTGCC